TCGTAAGTGTTTTACCAAAGTTGAGTCTGTTTTCTTTCTTTCTTTTTTTTATTTTATTTTGCTGTCTCTCTCTTTCCCTGAAATTTGCGTGCTGTGAGAGGTAACAAACATTCATTAAAGAAAAAAAAAAAAAGAAGGGGTGGTCGATCTCTGCGAGAGAGGATCGGATGCGCCGCTCTCTTCTGCACCAATCAGGGTCCACCGTGAACTGGAAGATAAGGGCGCGGCGCGGGGTGCAGCGGTTTGTGCGGCGGTACGTTCCGGATCCGCGCGATGACCCCCTGACGGAGGTGCCCATGAACGCGGAGACGTACAAGAAGACATATCTGCAGCAGGAGGGGGGCGTCCGTGTGGGAATACGCCCTGGCCAGTCGATCGAAGACTACATGGCGGAGCGTGACAAGAAGTGGTTGGCGGAGCAGAAACTTACCACGCAACGCCTTGTTGAGGAACAGCAGCTTCCCACAACGAGTGACGGCCAACTTTTCACTGGTACCGGAACACGTGCGTCGTACATGAATGTTGATGCGGCGAACAAGCTGGTGAAGACACCCACCCCAAGTGACTATGAGGCAGACGAGGAGCTCATCTTGATGCGGCGCCAGCTGCAGGTAGAGAACGAGGCGGAGTACCGCAGGTTCGTGGCGGAGAAAAAACGGTCGGAGATGACGATGGAGGAGACGCAGAAGCGACGGCATCCACACCCAAGCGACCCAAACTACGACCCATTTAAAATAACGCCGGGCTACCGTCCACAGGACTCTGTCGCGCTTGCGCAATGGCTGAAACGACAACGTGAGTCTGGCAAGACGGCGAGTGGACTTTCGCTTCAGACGAAGGAGGGACAGGAGCGATATTACAATGAGGAGAAGATGGCAACGCAGTTTCATGCCAACCCCTTCGCCGCACGCGTGGAGGAGCCACGGGGACTTTCAAAGATGCGTGTGACAGCGTACTCACCCGACAGCATTTTTGTGAACGACAAGGAAGTGATTGGTTCCTGCATCGTCACGGACAAGGCGTATTATCACTGGAATGTCAGCAGTTTTGAAGAGGTGGATGAGCGCACCTTGGCGCTGTTGCTGCACTTGTACCCTGTACCAGATGTCATATTCCTGGGAACTGGGCGCAACCTCCACTTTATCGACGAGGAGCTGCGCATCGCCTTCCAGAAGCGTGGCTCCGTCATTCACTGTCTCACAACCCCTCAGGCATGTGGACACTTCGGTGTGCAACTCTCTGTTTCACGCCGTGCGGCCCTTGCCATTATTAACCCGATCCCCACAAACGGTTACGGTGTGGAATGTTTTGGCGATTTTGTTGAAAATGACATGTTTTCCCTCTCTGACACGCAGCTTGGCGTTCCCCCTATCAAACAATTTTCATCGACGATGTTCAAACCGAACAAGGTGGCGGAAAAGTACCGCCACATGCAAGGCACCGGTTTTGGGCCAAAGTACCACCAACTGAGCGATGGACGGCTGGTGCGTCCAGGCACAAGTGGCACAAAGTTAAGACCATTGCTAGAGCCGGGTGAGGAAGTACAATGGGAGAGGCTACCGTCGTACTATCACTGGTACCCCAAGGAGCATCTTCATGACTACATTGAGAATACAACGATGCGAGAGATACAAGGGAAGCCCACTGGAGACCCAACAGAGCGGCGACTTTACCAATCAATGCGTGGTGGGAAGCCCGATAAGGAAAACGCCCCCTCACCAGATGTGGCGCCTTGGGACTCGGCATCTATTCCCATCACGAAGTTTCCACACGAGCGTAATGACGATGAGATTGTTGTGGAGGATCCCAAGACGGGACGTATCATTGGCATGGACCGTGAAACATACGAGCGGTGGCGCATCATGATGCAGGAACGTCGTGAGGGCAAGCCGGAAAGTGATCCTGTTGAGTATGACCAGGAAAGGTTTGTCACAAACAAAGACGGGGTCGTATTTGACTTATCAAAGATGAAGTACAGGCCAATCTTTGAGGGGCGATGGAACCCACGGCGGCCTCAGAGCACTGGCAGGACAAACCCAATAATGACATAAAATTCTCTGGCGTTGGCTGTGTGGGGTGTCTTGTTGTTGTTGGTTGTTGTTGTTGTTGTTTTTGTAGCACTAGTGGAGTTAGTGGTGGTCGCTGGTGTGTCTTCGTGGGACGAGGGGTGCAGAAACATCTTTTGTTTCCTTTCGCTTGTTTGTCCTTGGGGCGTCTCCCCGAGTCGATGGAGGGGGAGGCACGTGTCCAATTGGCCTTCGGAAATGATGTAAGAGCGTGCGCCTTTCGGAAATTTCATCCACTCGCACCCAAACGGAGGTCTCCGCTCTCATCATTACTGGTCTTTTTTTTTTTTTTTTTTTACCTCTTTTTGATGCATGTCGTTTTGTTGACGCTTCCATTTTTTTAAAAAAATCAAACAACTGAAAAACAAAAGAAAACAATACGACGGGGTGGTGGGGAGGGCAGAGAGCACGTAAGGAGCGCAGCCCACGGGGATTGCCGGGCGCCTGCATTTTTCCTCCCGCTCCTTTTCCCCCTGAGCGCAGGCATTGATGGAGAACTTGGAGGACGGCGACCCGCGGCAAAGGCGGCATTTCGGTGGCGAAGCGGCGCCAGCGACGAGGAAGGCAGACAAATGTGGAGAAGAAGGGGGAGGAGAGGCCAACGACGACGAAAAAATTATTCTTCGGATTATTCGAACGCACGGGCCGCTGTTTGTCTGCGAGAATCCCTCACTCTTCCTGCAGACACTTCCGCAGGCGCGCAAGAAGCACTACCGCAGCGACCACCTCAGCATCGAAGAGCTGGAGTACTTGGGCCACTCCTTTGACATTGTCTTCAAGAACGAGCAGGACTCACACCGTCGTGCGTGTCTTCGCGAAAGGCATGCAACCTCCTGCCGGGTGTACCGCTACCTCACGGATGAGATGGGACTGCGACTGCGCCACGGGAGCCAATTTGGTGCAGCATTCATTGGCTACCGTGATGTGAACGGACATGGCGAATATTTGGTGTATTTGGGGCCCTTGTCGCGACTGGAAGAAGTTGCGGCAGTTCGTGTGGCACGCAGCGTCGCAAAGGAGGCGTGGGTGGCGGAGGAACAGCAAGACGGCAGCGGTTTCTCCTTCACGAGACTGAGCCCGTCCGTCTCGGGGAGAGCGTCACGCGAAACGCCACGTCAATTAGTGATGGGGACAAATGGGCCAAAAACTGTCAGCTAAGTATGAGCGGGAGGCGATTTTGTGAAATTACCCCGTTTCTGTCTCATTCTCTCTTTTTATCTGCGAGAAGTTTACAGAGTGAGTCAATGGATGTGTGCCTCTCTTTTTCTATCCCTCTCTCTCTCTCTGTGTGTGTGTGTGTGATCCTGTGTATAATTGATTTCTACTCGTTTCTTCTTGGATGGTGCCGCCGCGGTCTCAACTAATTTTTCCTTTTCATTTTCTCAATCCCTTACATACTCTCCCGTCTTTTCATGGATGCGTCAAACACACACACACACTCAAACGCCCAGGAAAAGGAGATGGCTTGCCCACGTGTGCAGTACCGTCGCCGCATGCACTACGCGACGCGTGGGAACCGCATGAAGCTCGTGCGTACTCCCGGCAACCGCCTTGTCATGCAGAAGCGCGTCAAGCGCTCGCAGGGGCCGCACACGCCGTGGGTGTTGGGCCACAAGCGCCTCGCTGGCACGAAGGCACTGCGCCACACGGAGGCCCGTCTTGCTTCGCGCCATGAGAAGAGCACCTCTCGCCCGTACGGCGGCGTGCTTAGTCACGAGCAGGTGCGTGACCGCATTGTGCGCGCGTTCCTCATCGAGGAGCAGCGTATTGTGAAGCGTGCACTCAAGGCCCACGCCAAGTCGCAGAAGGAGAAGAAGCGCCGCGACTCCAAGAAGAAGCGCAAGGAGGAGAAGAAGGCGGCCCTCACAAAGAAGATTGCGGCGAAGGTTGGCGCAAGGTCCGCGCTCACGAAGAAGACCACTGCCAAAAAGAAGGCGGCGTCCCGAGTTCCAGTCGGCGCGAAGGTCAAGAAGTAATTTAGGGGGCCACTCGTTTTTCAGTACTTTTTACTTAATATATATATATATATATTTTTTTTTTTTTCTCTTTTTACATCTTCCCCCTTTTTCTTTCGCTTCTTTTCTTTTCGAAGCCGCAGGGCTGTTCTGAGAGGCTGAGGGCCGGGGGGAGGAGGAAGGAACGCTAAAAGGGATCTGAAAACGTGCGAAAAAGGGACGCTGTCAACATGATTGTCGCTGTTGTTTCTTTTGTTTTTTCTTTTGGCTGTGAAGGCGGCATCTGTCCTGATTGCCTTTTTTTTTTTTGTTCCCCTTTTCTTTTTTCAACTCTGCAGGTCCGCGAAACGATGGGATTCTTTGACTCCGATCTCAGTTACCCGACGGTGCGCTCTGAGCGCATGAAGCACAAGCGCCGCCGCTTGGTGCAGGGACCCAACTCGTACTTCATGGACGTGAAGTGCCCGGGGTGCAACGCCATCACCATTGTGTACAGCCACGCCACATCGGAGGTGCAGTGCAATGGCTGCGCGACAAAACTCTGCCGCCCGACAGGAGGAAAGGCGATGTTGACAACCGGCTGCGGCTTCCGCAAGAAGGCTGACCACTGATTTGGGCCTATTCATGAGGATTGAGCGGACTAATCCACTTTAGTTTTGTTCTTTTTCTTTTTTTTATTGTTTTTAAATAGAAAATAAGAAAAAAAAAAAAAATGGTACTGCGGGGAACTTTCCCGCCCCGTCTGCGTGCCTACCCACGCGGCCATCACGTGCATTTATCTACGTATGGCCCTGTGGGTGGGTGCGCTTGTTGGCCTGTGGCACCGTTTCTCTTCTCCTCTTCCTGACCTGTGTATTTCTTGCTGTTGTTTTCGGTTTGACATTTTTTTTTTCTTTCTTTCTTTGTCTGCGTTTGTTTCTGGTGCGTGTGGCTTTTTTTTGTTGCCATTCACGTCAGGCTTTTTATTCGTCGCGGCAACATGTCGAAGATTCCTCCCGCACAGCTCTCGGAGGCCATTCAGGCAGTCCTTACAAACCGCAAGGAGCGCAAATTTAAGGAGAGCATTGACTTGCAGGTGAATTTGAAGAACTACGACCCGCAGAAGGACAAGCGTTTCTCGGGCTCCGTGCGTCTTCCCCACGTTTGCCGTCCCCGCATGACTGTCTGTCTGCTGTGTGACCTTGTGCATGAGGACATCGCCAAGAAGAACAACGTCCCGACAATGAACCAGGAGGAGCTGAAGAAGTTGAACAAGAACAAGAAACTGGTGAAGAAGATGTGCAATCAGTACGACGCCTTCCTCTGCTCAGAGTCTATCATCAAGACCGTGCCTCGTCTTGTTGGTCCTCATATGCATCGTGTTGGCAAGTTCCCCACAGTGTGCGCCATGAGCGAAAGCCTGCCGGAGAAGGTGCTGGAGATTCAATCGACGGTGAAGTTCCAACTGAAGAAGGTGCTCTGCCTCGGCACATGTGTCGGTCATGTTGAGATGACGGAGGATCAGGTGCGCCAGAACACCGTCATGGCCGTCAACTTCCTCGTCTCACTGCTGAAAGAGAACTGGCAGAACCTCAAGTCTGCCTACATCAAGTCGACCATGGGGAACCGCAGCGCATTTACTGAGCACATGTCGCGGGCGTGAAAAG